TGATCAGCTCTAAACAAATGTAACTATGAGGAACTCTCTCTCTTTCTCTCCTTCCCTCCCTCCCTCTCTCCCTCTCTCTCTCTCTCTCTCTCTCATACAAAAATTAAAAAAGAAAATAAGAAATCATATGATTAAGTTTTAACCCATAGTTTTCCATAGGTAGACAGACATTAGTAGCCTCAGAGGCCCCATTATAGTTTGCTTTTGACTTCATCGCTCATTTTTCTGGTAACACTTAAAAAGGAAAACTTCACTTTTTCTGCTCTTTAGGTTTTCTTTTAAAAAGGATGTCTCTGAGTTTAAAGCATGGCATTTCTGATCTGCTCCCAAGAGTAATCACTCTATACTATTGCCTCCTCCTTCAAGAGTTACTCCAGCTTCTTCTTTTATACCCCACAAAGGTAAGACCCCAGGCTATGGGTCTTAGTACCCATGAGTGTCTCAACTCATGCCCCTCTTGAAGTTACTGCTATTCAGCTTGTACCTTTGCTCTGCTCAAATATAGTTCCCTCTCTACTTTGTAAACATTCTTGGGCCCTTATTTTCAGTTATTTGGACAAGAGGCATGATTCCGGAAATAACCTGACTTACCCTGAGCATGGGTATGAAAGTTAGACATAGATACATACAAAGTGAAACTAAGGGAAGGGGAGACTTCAAGAATGTGGCCTTAATAAAAACTTTTTTACTTTTTTTTTTTTTTGAGACAGGGGTTTCTCTGTATTGCTTTGGAGCCTGTTCTGGAACTTGTAGAGACAACTTGATCTTGTATATTTCTAGCCTTCAGAATTGAATATATTTATTTGGTTGTAGTCATTCGATCTGTGGTATTCTGTTTTGACAGCCAAAACAAAATAATAAACTCCCTGTAACAATGGAAAAGAGCTCTGAATCTTCTTGTTTAGTTACTGACCCAAAAGGTTTAGTCATAATACAGATGACCTCATTAGTAATAAAACTGTATTTGTGGTGCTAAAGCATATTTGGATTTTTAAAAATTTCCCTGTATCATCCAGGAAAGGCAACATAACAAACAATTACAACAGGATGCCATTTTTAACTTTGAAGTTTTTTTTTTTTTCAAAAATTGACTGGGTATTGTTAATCTCTCTAGACAAGAATAAGAACACTACTATAATTATTGAGCCAAAATTGAAGGAAGGTTTATTAAATACTGGCCAGAACCTTGGATACAGGCCAGGTCCACAACCAGGATTCCCATAGTATGGTGCCCAATTACATTAGTCAAGGGCTTATAAAGACAGAACCCTCAAGACTCTGCCATCCAATCAGGGCCAAGCATCCATCCTGATTTAATTCCTCACTACATACTTTCACCTACATGTGATCAAGTACATACTGTGAAATTGGTTCAGCCAAGCTTGTTTATACAAATGAAAACACATGGCTTGTTATCTTGCATGAAAGGCCCCCAGTATTCCATGAAGTGATCTATATTTGGGCTAGGGTGGCTTACTGGTTTGAAGTAGCTTTGTTTTGCAGGTCTCTAGTCATAGTAATATAATCTTAAAATGCAACTGGGGTCATTACATTATTTATGTGAAAAATAAACAGAAGAATTAACACGTTCAGTGAAATAGATATTAGCCTGTTTTTATGTTAGACTTTAATACAATTGCACAAAACTCATCTGCTACCAAGAGTAAATAGAAGATGCCCCATAAGAGGACTTTTGTAAACCATGAGCCATATTTTTAGAAGGATCACTGGTGTTAAGTATCTATATTTCAAAATATCAAGTCATGGGTTCTTATGAATTATTTATTCTCCTATAGAAACTTTGTGTTATCATAGCATGATTGTAGAAATAATGCCATGCTATTAAAATTTATAAAGAATAATAAAAATATAATAATTCAATTTAAATAAAATTTGCTGTAGTTGCTCCATAGTTTACCATTTTTCTTGGCAGAATTTCACAGTATTTTATTAAATTGGATAGAAATATGTGTTGTGAATTGAATTATAGCCTCATAAAATTTATCTGTTGAACGCTTAACCCAACACCCACAGTGACTATATTTGGAAATAAGACTTTAAAGATTTAATAATGACTACATGGAGTCAGGTAGGTGGTCCCTAACCCAAGGAGACTTGATGTTTCATGAGTCCTCTGTAGTGTGAATACACAGGGAATATAGAGGGAAGATAATGTATGAACCACAATGACTAGAGAGTACCAATAAGCCAATGAGAAAGGTTGAAAGGACAGATTTTTCTGCCTGCCTCTACCTGGACCTTGAACTTATGACATACACAACTATGAGAAAGTAAGATTCAGTTATTTAAAATCCTCAGTCTTGGAAAGTTTTAAGAAGTCCATGTCCATTTCTTACTTTCTTTCCAAGAGTATTTCTTTTTGTCCATTTTAAATCTTGAACATGCTTTTTTTTTTAATTTTATTTTATATAACCAAGTCCATTTAAATGAAAATAAACATGTATAGACAATATTTGGGAATTTGGGCGTTGTTCTTTCCAAACTACTTCCTGCTGGTAAGGGCGCTGTCATGAGGGATTTGAAGAAGATTCAGAAATATTGGCTGTAGTCTGTCAGGCTGCTTTGTCCAGCTGTTTTGAATGTAGGATCACCTGGTACTCTGTTTCAGGTAGTCTGGCTTGATCAAACCACATTAGTCTGGAAGGAATCCACATCTTTTCATTTTCTGTGGAAACAAAAATAGAAATCCTTTTCCCCAGTAACTTGTCCTTGAACTTAAATTTTGGAGTCAAAGCATTTTTTTTTTAAATTTATTATTTTACATGTCGATCCCAGTTCCCCCTCCCTCCCTCCCAAGCTCCCTTCCTCCCTCCCTTCCTTCCTCCCTTCTTCTCTCCCTTTTACCCTCTCTGCCCTCTCACATGCACTCTAACCACCCTCACATCCCCCCACCCCAATTCCATATGTAGGGGAATATCATCCAGTAGGGATCATGTAGGTCTGACAGGTCATGTGAAGTAGGGACTAGGGCTTCTCTCCTGTATCTGGATTAAGGCAGGTATCCCTCCATGGAAGATGTTGAACATGCTTTTTATAAATAAACTTTAATTCTGCTTTAAAAGAATATAATTTCCAGGCTATGAGGCTTGGCTATAGAGTATACATGGAACTAGTACTGTGTAGGTCTCAGTTATTGGCTGAGAAATTATTTGCAAGAAGGAATTTGTTACATTTTCTATATAAAAGACATTATTTCCAAGACTGCCTTTTGGTTTCATATTTATAGAAAATCAGCAATTTGTTTTTATGTAGGAGAATATGGGCTAAGGTCTGTTTCATACATGCACATTCCAAATGTATGCAAAGCTACTCATTTATATCCGTGCTATTTTTCCTCGGGATCATCAGATGTATTTGAGGAAAGGCAAAATCAGCAGATAATTTAGAAGCCAAATTTTCAAAAGAATGTTTGTGTAACAGAAAAAAAAACTCATCAAATATGATTTTAAAAAGCCTGACAAGCTGTAGTTATACATCTTTGCACTAACATATTCCTTGGATTAAGCAAGAAAAATACAAATCTGTAGAATTTCTTAAAGTGATTTTCTTACAAATTTCAGTTGATATGATTTCTGAATATAGAATTGACATTATTTTGGAGGAATATTAAAAATTTTTGCTAAATCTTTATAGGCATGATAGTTTAGGTAATTATTAAAAACAACCTCAATAATTATGTTTTTATATGATAGTCCAGTAGAAAATAATTTATTTCCTGTTATTATGTTTGATTTATCATTTTAACATTATAGTTTGAAGTAGAAAGGTAGGAAGACAGTGGTAAGATACTTGCTCCTCCCAAATCTCTCTCTCTCTCTTCCTCTCTCTCTCTCTCTCTCTCTCTCTCTCTCTGTGTGTGTGTGTGTGGTAATATCTTGTTGGTACAAATGAAGCCTGTCTGAAGGTCAGAGAAGTGGTTTGGACATCTGTACAGAAGTGAGTTAGCTGGGCTGGAACAGAGTATAAGCAGGGAGAAACAAGAAGTCTCTCTTGTCTGCTGTCTGCTGAGACAGGAAAGAGTTGAAGTGTGGCTGTGGCTTGCTCTTTCTCTATGACTTCAGACAGGCTTTATTTGTATAACGAAGATATCTGCCACGTGTGTGTGTGTGTGTGTGTGTGTGTGTGTGTGTGTGTGTGTGTTTGTATTCCTAAAAACAATAATGTGAACATAGTTTGTATAATAGGACAGTTTCCAGGGCTGAGTAATTGGGAATTGGTATAGTGTAACCAATTTGTGTGCTCTTCCCTGAAGAAGACTGTTGTCTGTAGCTCTTTGGCATGGTGGAAGGCCCATTAGCTTACCATTTCCACATAGGGATGCCTATTGGTGTCATCCTTGATCATCTCATGTTAGACAGCCTTGATAATGAGAACTTATGTGAGTGTCTCCTGATATTCTTTATGTGCTTGTAAATCAGAATTTCAGCCCTCACATTTGCATGTTGAGCTCTTTATCTACAAAGCTATATCTGCTTCTGCTTCCTGGGGGATGGGATTAAAGGCATGAGCTTTACACCCCCCCTCCTCTATATTTCTCAAATGTTGGAACACATGATAGTCAGTATGACAATATATAGAACAGAAGGAGAACACAGATTTATAGCAGTTTGTATCTCAGGTGATTCAATTTTATTCCATCAGAAATTATAGAGAAGGTGTAAGAATGGTGATACACATCAGCTGTACAGACTCTCGCCCACTGTACGATACAGAAGAAAAAAGAAAGCAGCACATGTGCCTTTTGAGAAGAAAACATGGCCACCTTGTTTCATCTCAGCACTCTGTTCAGATGAAAACTAGATTGAAATGAATTGTGGAAAACAACTATGGCGTGCAATACAAGAAGTAATGTGCTGTGAAAGAGGAGGCTATGAGACATTATCTTTATAGTAAGCAAAAGATGAGCAACTATCCCAAGGTCTTATCTGAGAACATCCTCTTCAGTGCTGGACTGTGAACTGCAAGTGGTCAGAGATGTCTCAGTCGGCGTCACTGTCACTGTAGCACCGGTCCCTTTTAATCTGCTCTTCCACAGTGAGATGCTCTGCCTGGCATCGCGCTCCAGGAAACACAGGCTTAGCTGCACGTCCTTGGCTTGGGGCATCAAAACCCATTTTCCCACCACTCCAAGCTGCCCCTGCGGTTTCATCAGGCCAGCATTTGATGTCTTTTCCAAGTTCTCTCAGATATAAGCATGACATATTTTTAAGTTGATCAACAGAATCTATGAAATCACATGCAAGGATGTTGTGTTTCTTAGAAAAGGAGGGAATTTTCACAGTGTTAGAAAAGAGAAGGTGCACTTTTTTGCTGTTGTCATGGTTTTCTTTAATGTGTAAGAGGTTTGCATCTGGAAAGGCTGCACAGCTTTCCCCTTTATCTGCTAAGCCCTGCTGGAAGACTGGCTCCAGAGTGAACTGCACAGGACTGCCCGCAGTCACTCTGTCAGCTTTTTTCTCCAGAGCCATGGCTAGGACATTTTTAGAGGACAACTTTTCAGATTCAAATACACCAAGTAACTCTGAGATCCTGGATGCATGTTTCAGCTTTTTGATTTGGATTTCACTTGGGTAGGGGTTTGCCTCACTGGCTATCTGTAATAGCTGAGGACATTCTAAAATGGACATCCCCTGTCTGCCACTATTCATAGAGCAGACACCTGCTGAATTGTTATTGTTATTGTTGTTGAAGTTCTCTCTGTGGTTCTCTGGGCCCACCTCATCGCCAGTGCTTGTGACTTGTAGAATGTCTGTGCAGTCAAGTTCATTGGCATGTCCACTATTTCGCTTTCCATCACTCTGCACATATACAGCGTTGCCATTAAGTTCCATCCCACTTTTTCTCTTACTAGCTACGCACTCTGCTTCATTCATCTTATCCTGCTCATTTCTCTTTCCTTCTTTCTCATCCTTTCTTGTTTCATACACTTTCATGTCTGTGACTCCCACGATGTCCCCTTTCTGACACACATGTTGACATGGTGGTAGGACAGGGAAGCTGTCTTGCTCTTGATTTCCCAAACTTTTCACATGTTCTGGTAGTGACTCCCTTTTACATTCCAAGGAAACAGGGATTGTCACTTGAGGCGGCCATTTAGGTTTAGTCACTTTGAATTCTTCATCAGGGGGAAAGTTTTTCTTAGGCATCTCCTGGGAAGGAGGCCAAACAATTTTTAATTTCCCCCTCTCTCTCCATTTTCTCAAATCATTGTTCTGCCAATCGCTGTAACAAACATCTGCATGTCTAGTAAGATCCCCAAACAAAAGGGTATCTGTTACAGGGTTTTCACACACATTGAGTTCTTCATTGGGAATTAAGTCAACTACGCTGCTTTGATTTTTGCAATTCCATCGATCTTTATGCTGTTTGTGTCCAAAACCTTCATCATAATTTCCTTTAGACTTAAAAAGTTGTTTAAAGTGAGGCTTGCAGTATATTTGTCCATAAAGTGATGCATAATTTCCCAAACTGCCAAAAGAAAAGAAATAATATTTAGTGTTCTATATACTTACTAGAAATTCATAGAGTATTGCAGAATTATTTTAATAATGAATCAGAAATTCAGTAAAACCACTTAGTACTAAAAGGAATGGTCCAGTTAATTAAAATTCCTTTTAGGTGAATTATCACCATTACCACTGTGATGTGTACCTTTCAGCATTTAAAATTCCTGCATATCACTAGAGGTTTAATAGGTATTCTCAGGTACAGTCCATGTCCTTAAACCAATGGCCCAAATGTTGCCAAGTCAATGACTTCTGACACTATCTTCCATATCCAGAATGGGCAGTGCCAAGAACTTTTCTGCCAAAACCACCAAACTTTTAATTAAAATTTACAGAGAAAAAGAACTCTGTGTCACCAGTTGTGATGGTGTGCATGAGAAAAACAGGGTGGATATTAGCATCATATCAGAATTCAGGAAATACTGCCTCCATGAAAGAAATAATGAGGATATATATAGAAGGATCAATGTTAGGGACTAGGCCCTAATGTCACTATACTTGGAAGGTAAAATGAAAGGTTAAGGGGACAGAGAGGGAACAGTATGCAATGCAGTGTGTAAATGATCTGGCTTTTATCAAATGTAAATTTTATGAAATTTTCATTCACAGATTGTTACCATCAGTAGACTTTTTTAATTAAATGACTTTAAACTTTTAAAAGCTGTGTATTTGCCTGTTGTATTATGTATGTATGCATGTATGTATGTACGAATGTTCATTACTTGAGTGCCTGGTGCAGGTTGAGGTCAGAAGAGGATTTCAGGTCCACTGGAACTGGCATTAAGAGCAGTTGTGAGCAGCCATGTGTTTGGTGGTCTCATGTATGCCAGGCTTGCTAAAAACTTACTATGTATCTGTGGATAATTTTGATACTAAAAGTTTATTTATGCCTTAGTGTTAGTTTTTTTTTTTTTTTTTTTCATGGACGGGGAAACTAGTCTACACTTTAGACAGAGAAGTTATTTCCAATTTGTGTTTCAGAAAGATAATTTTACTGCATTATAGAATACAGCCTTAGGTTGGCTTGGTGGTAGTGGTGCTGGTAAGAGATGTGAACACAGGGAGACCACATCACTAGTTATATAAAGGGTTTGTGGCATTAGCTCAAGTGAGAGACAATACTTACTGGAAGGAGAGTTGGGCTATGGGGTGAAATGTGCACAACTTAGGGGGAATTATGAAATTTGTAATTAAAGAAGTGGGTGATGGCTGGAAAGGAGGGAAAGAATGAGTGAAAGATAGCTTCATGAATAGGCCACAGTTAATGTTCATGTCATTTACTGATACAGAGGGATAGATACTACATTCAGAGAATGAATGGCAACAGTGAGAAGAAAATAGGTCCTACTGATGTCATCATGCTTACAGAAACATCTTTCACTGGAAATTAACATTTAGTGAACAATGGTGCAATCTAGACCAGCAGTGCACATTTTAGAGTCATCCCCACATGGAAGGTACAAGATGGTATGGGATCTACCAGAAGGAAAAACAAACAACCAGACGACTATATCTAAATCACAGGCTTCTGAAGCTCCTCTATTTCATTGATGGTTAGAAAGAGTCACCTTTATATGTGCCTGAGAAGGAGCACCCCAAAAACAGAGGTGGAATCATTATGTCATACTGCCATGGAAACTGAGGGAAAAATAAGAAATTATGTTGCAATGAGCAATATTTGACACTGCCAATTAAAATCAGGAAAGTGATAGTCTGAGAGGTGCACATTAGTTAGATTCAGCAAAATAAATCCCATTCCAGCATTTCAAACTATATCCTTATCAAATGTCACATTCAGTTAAGTGCATCTATTTTGAGAGGTGTGGAAAAGGAATACTCATGCCTCTGTGTTGATTAGCATGCTTCCTTTGCTTCAAAAATAAACAGCTTTTCCTTGACCCGTCACTAACATTATTCCAAATTCCATTTCTTAACATATGTGCTGTAGCTCAAACAGAAAAGCTCTATGCCATCACCTACTATGGATACAAAGTTTCCCTGGAACATATCCAAGCCTATTCATTTACAGATACACCCACCTGTTTTCTCCAACCAGCATTCTTGGATTCCAATGAAACATGAATCCTGCCTGATGGGAACAGAATAGCCTGCCAAATAATAATATTCACTATCTGCCCTTTACAGAAAGGGCTTACCAGCTTCTAGCCTAGAGCTAATACTTTCAGACACCAGACTCGCTTAAAAATCCTGATGTATATAAGTAACTCAGAATGCTTTCTTACCCTCACAAATCCTCCCAACTTGAAAGAGAAGTGTTGAGAGTCAACCTAAACAATGTTGTATCCCCACCCCCATGTGATTTTAGCTACTTAGGGCACCTGTGAGATCTGGAGAATTCTCCTCTCAAGAGACTAAATACTATACATATGCTCTAAGGTTCTTCAATCTATGTGGCACACGTACTCAACATGACATTTTACCTCAGTTTACCGCTGCAATGATGGCATCTGAAACACGATTTATGAAAATTCTGCTTGTCTGCTATGAGGCACTCCATTGGATAAACTGTCTTTTGACAAATTATGCAGATTTCCTTGTCTTGGACCAGCAGTTTCTAAAAGAAATTTATAAAGGCTTATGTGTTTCTATTTTCCATCACAATTTCAATAGCATAAAAAATAATGCATTAATTGGACATGCAGTTAAAGGGGAAAAACCCTAATAGTTGTCTTTATATATCTCTTTCCTGGACAGTGTAAACTAACATGAAATTTGAGGATCTGGTACGAAGATTTAATGCCTGTACCATTACACCTTATAGAAATTGGATTATTATATAATAAACACATAAATGTATATTATGATATTATGCTCACTTACATTATTACATTGAATACACACACACACACACACACACACACACACACACTCATGGAGAACCTTAAGAAAATGTATCATTTGAAGCAACTAGATTTTCCATACATATGAAATATAAAACTTTGTAAGTTTTAATTTCTAAAACTATGTGTACAAATAATTCTAAAGTACATACAGGTTTTTATAAGCCAAGACTTTGTATAGTGTTAGATTAAGTATTATCTCAATAATTATCAGGGTTTCTTCATGACAGCAGCTGTTAACTTCCTTGTACATGAAATGAGCAGGGAGGGACCTCTACTCTTTTTCTAAGCGATTTGAACTTTTACAGCCATTTAGACACTTACAACTATTCTTTTTGTTTTGTGCTGCTTCTCTTACTCAGTACCTACAGTTGCTTCCCATTGCTCTCATGTGAAGGGTAGTCTTTATAAATACCACTAGTTATATCACTAACATGGGTTCTGTAGTGGCTTACAATGGGCATAGAAACATCAATTATATATTAGTTTTGATTTTCACTATACTCTTCTGGGACTAACTAAGCTTTTGTTTTTGTCTCCTATGAAAGCAGGTATGTCAAGGTCCTACATGTAAACCTACTTTAGTGATTATACTCTGCCTTTCCATGATTGAGAGGACTCCTTTGCTTTGAGGGATACATTTCTATATTTAACACCAGCCTCTTTGTGTTTTCTATGGTTATGATCTGCCTTAACAAAAACTGAGCATTTGAAATTAATTAGACAGCTTTGCTTAATTATGCCAGAAGCAAGCACATTAAGAAACCATATTAACTTGATAAACTAGACACATATGTTGTAAATATGAGAGGCATAATTATTAATTTCAGTGGTTTTTATTTTTAAGTTTGCTATTTCTTTCAATCTGTCTAAAAGAATGGACTATACTAATGATGCCTATTAATTATATCCGATCCTTTTATCATGAAAACTCATTAATTGCAACAAGCGTGGTAAATAGAATGGAGTAAACTATCTTCTGATGTTAAAAATATCATGTACTATGTTCTTATGATTTAAATCTCTCATCTTACAAACATAATCAAGTTTTAATGTGTATTGTTTATACTCATCTATGAATGAGGTCAATTGAATTGTCATAAAGATGAAAATATCAGTTATAGATAGAAAATATTGGTATCAGGTGATGTTACCACCTCAATTAACTACAATAACTAAATATATTAGCTGTCTAATGTTACATCTACAATTTTAACATAAATTGATGAAGATACTGACAGCATACATATACTGCAAGTTCTGTCTGAGGCTATTACTAATGTGTATTGAGTTCCCTGCAGAGACTATTTAAGTATTCAGTTAAAATAGGTAAATACCAGGCCAAAGGTTTTGGTCTGATACCACCATAAACTATTAGGTGAAGTAAATTGTATTATGAAATTTTAATAATGAATTTGTTCTATAGCAAACAAATAGTTCTACCATTATGAAAACCACCATAACAGTTGTTTTGTCTGATGAGTTCTTCAAACTCCTGTTTAATTTGAGTTTGAAGAACAGGTTTTAGCAATGGATACTGCAGATCAATCTTATTAAATGCTATTGTTAAAAAAGAAAGTAATGAAAGCAAGGGCAGCAAAGAATCACAAGCCTACAGGGGTAACTGTTAGTCCTAATTTGTTACTAGGTTATTTCCACACACTGTTTTAATTGCAAATCATTTGGCTTTGGCACACATGCTTTCAAATGGGTTAATCTTCTTTCACACTCTTCAATTTCATTTACCACTTTTAAAGGAAGATTCCTCCTGGAAGACTCTGCTCATTTCAGTGGCTTGTGCATCTGAGGTTTCATATCCCATGCGACTAAAAACTCTTTCACTCTCCTGCCATGTCTTCTGAAAATCTCTTCTGAGATTTCTAGGTGAATCGGTAAGATCTAGGATATGGCCAGCAATCACATCTTCATAGGTTGGTGGGGCATGCTTGAAGTCCAAGCCGGATCTGCCACCTTCTGAGGTGCATGATGTTGAAGTTGCTACCTTTGACCCAATAATCCGACTATCAAATGTGTCCACCCCTAAGAAATGCTCACTCATAGACCTTGCTTCAGAGTGAACCCTGGGCTGCATTGCAGGAACTTTTTCTTGGTGTTCTCTAGGATGTCTGTATGAAATGCCTGTAAAATTAGCATTTCCAGAAGATGCTAGTCCAAATCCCTCCTTACAAAACGTGTGACTCTCTTGTTTCACATTGTGGTTTATTTCACCATTTGCATAAAATCTTCTATCTGTCTTTGCTCTAAAGTCTGGGTTGTTCTCAAAATCCCTAAACCATCTGTTTATTTCATTTTCATGGCCATTCAGAAAATGTTCAGCCATTTGAACTGTTTGATTGGTTGCTTCAAATCTCTCTGTGTGTTCTGATAGGCGAGGCCCTTCTACCTTGCGGATGATCTCAACTGCATCATAGCTTTCAGTTTCTGGCATTGTGTTGTTGAATGAACTCAGCTCATCTTTATGAACATAAGACCCCTTTTTCTCTATTTTCCTCATTGTGTCTTGGGCTTCTAAAGATTCTTGGAAGGAACCACTAATGGCATGGTTTACACTTACAGGTATTGTGATGGTGGGTGGAGAGTCCCTGGCATGACTTTCTATCTTAATTTGCCTGCGGAGTGTGGCTGGAGACATGACAACTTGAGATCTCTTCTCTACAATTGGAACTGGGGTCCCTGGTGAACATGGGATGGTACCTTTGGCTAACCTGGCAGTGGTGTCTTTGAGTCTAACAAGTTGTTCTGAGCGACTCCTTGGTGGGGATGGGGAGGTGCATGTTCTGTGAAGTCCAGATGTTTGCTCTGTAGATGTTCTGGGTGGAGGTTCAGTACAACTGATCTTTTTAGGGGATTGAGAAAGCTCACTCTTCGTGGAGGTTTCTGCTCGTCGGGCAGTGGACTCTATTGTAATGAAAGTTGGTGATGGTGGTCGAGTTTTCAAAGAGGAAGGAGCAATCTTATTATCTTCTCTCTTAATCTCCTGATGTGTTTTAGCAGGATTATGCATCATTGTTACTTGGTGCTGTGATAACTGTTTTTCCACAACTTTATTTTCTTTCTGTTCAGTGCATTTATTAGAGTTGACATTAACATTAGACACTTTCAATGACATTTCATTAAGATGGGTAGGCTTATCTCTCTGCTTCCCTGTTGGGGAGGCCATCATGGCTGTTTGAATTATATGTTCACAGTGCACAAGCATATCCTCTGCTTGAGTTTTAATATGTGTTATTTCTTCTTTGACTTTTTCTAAATTATTCTCCATGGCAACATGAGCTCCATATTCTCGTTTTTCTTCACTTATCAGCCACACTGGAACAATATTTAGCAGTGTCTGAAATGTTTCAAGCCCGTTTTTATCTGATTCTGCTTCAAACTGTTTTACTCTAGACAAAAAGTGCTGCAGTTCTTCACGTTTTCTCGAGAATTCCAATATATTTATGGCACATTTTCCATTGTCATGCTGGGATTCTTTCATAGAGGAAAATGGAGATTCATTCTGTGTAATCTCTTGTTTTGAATCTTCAGTGTCAGAAAAGACATGTCTCTGTTGTTTGCCCTTGTCTGGCACATCATTATGTGGCTGGGGCAATTTTTTATTCTCAACTCTACTTTCAGAAGTTTGTATTTGTGTTTGCTGAAAATTCTGAATCTGTGAGTCCAGACATGCATTGATAATCTTTTGTTGGGCCAACGTTGGTACTTTCTGGTCCTGCAGATGTTCTTGCTTTCTCTCAACTATTAATCTGTCTTCTTTTGAACAGCTCATCCATGAGTCCTGGTTGCTTTCTTCACTCCCTGGGACATTCCCTCTGCCAAACTCCCCAAACCCCCTCTGCTTCTTGGGAACTGCTTTGAGCTTACTCTTATGATGTTTCTCTGAGGATTCTTGAGGCATTTGTATTGTCACCCTTTTCTCTGTTTTAGGTAATTGAAAAGATTTTTCAGGCACAGATTGCTTATTATCACAATGTGTCCTATCTGGGGTTTTCTTGATTTCCTGATTCATATGTGTAGCAGTGGTTTGAACATGAACTTCAGATTGCTTTTTGTGACTTTCAGAACTGAGATCTGGTTCAGTCAGTGAACGATCTAGATTTGGAAGCTTGATGGTCTTCGCTTTGAAACTTGGGAAAGTTGATATGCTTTGGGGAAAGGGCAAGTTCTCCATATGCTGCTCAGGTGTTTGTTGTGTCTTACACTCTTTGTGACTCTGGCTAGTTTCACAAGCTGATTTCCACTGTAGAATATCCTTTAAGCTTTGTATGCCTTCCTTTTTCATGGTACATTTATCTTCCGATGCTGCTAGAAAGTGGTGGAGCCTCTCAGTATCAACTGTCAATGTAGAAGCTGTGGAGACCTCGCTGTCAGCTCTCATTCCTGCAAGCACAGCCTCTTTCTTAGAGTCCAGGCTGGGTTGTATCCTAGTCAAGTCCAAATCCTTTCTGGGTATGGGAACTGCCTCAGTCCCTTTTTGTGACTCTATTCTTTTCTCCTTCTCTGATATGTTTTGACGGTAGGTTTCTGTTTTAACAATACTGTGGCAAGACTTCTCTTGTCTCTGTTTCTCAAACTCTTCCCTTTGTTGTCTGTATTTTTCTTCAGCAATCATTAAAGGTGTCTTAAATTTTCTCACGTAAGGCTTTGGACTTTGTTGTACTGAGCCTGATGGAACTGAGTGAGATTTAACAAGGGGTGCTAGCTGTTTTTCCTTAGGGGCTGGGATTTCTGGAATTCTCTGAGACAGAGAGTTTGCTGAGTTTTTGGACAGCTGTTTTCTTTCATCAAGACTTTTTCTGAGTAGTTCCTGCTTTGTCTCTGTGTTCTCACAGCTTATTGCCACTACTGATCTTTTCTGATCCTTGGAGCAGGTGGATTTAATTTCCATGTCTGACAGAGATCTCCCCAATTTGCCCTTTGGGGACTCCTGGCTCATTTGATCTTTAATGCTCTTGGGAAGTTTGGGTTTGGGGAGTGTAGGAGGTGGTGATTTTACTGTTAGGGTTTTAGCCTGTGAGTGAATCTGCTGAGTGCCTGAGACTTCTTTTTGGAAATTTTCTTGTATGAAGGCTTCACTATAATTTTCTAGGACAGAGGAGGAAAGAAGATGTGCTGCTGGATATGTTTTTGGAGGAGGTGGAAGAGGTAGGGATGCTGACAGACATCCTCTTTCAGATTTCTCATCTACTGGTGGTGGAGGAAGAGGGAGGCCTTCGAATTCAGTCCTTGTCTTCTCTGTTGATGGGGAGGGAGGAAACTCGTTTTTTTCAGACAACAGCATTAATGGTGGTGGAGGGGGGAGAGGAAATTCAATTTCGGATGATGCATTGGAAGGCAGAGGAGGGGGAGATGGAGGTGGAAGGGAGTCCTCATTTTCTTTTACATTATACTCAGGTTGAAAGTTGATTGGATTAAGGGACTTCTCCATTGCCATTTTCAAGTCTTTGGAAGTATTTGTCTTCATTAGAAAGTCCTGGTTTTCTAGACAAACATCATTTTTCTGTTTTTTGTCAGTTGCCTGAAATTTTTTGTGGCTTCTTCCAGAGACTCTTACTCCTGTTACATTTTGTACATCCTTATCTACAGGCAAAGGTTGAAGGCTAATGTCATTTTTCTTCATATCTTTATCACAATACCATGTTACCTGACTTAGCAAGGCTTGATTCTGAAAGTCCCTTGTTGTCCCATGCATTTCTCCAGTTGTCTGTTTGATGAGATGCTGGGTGGGATTTGGTGTACAACTTTGCACCACTGATGATATACTCATATTTTTCTTACTATTTTGATTATTCCCATAGGAATCCTGGATCTGAGACTTCCGGTAGTCATTCTCTGGTTCACAAGTTTGAAACTGCTTTCTAAATGTATTATCCACAGACCGGGTGAAGTTACAGATATCCTTTGATTCTCTCACATTCTCTGAAACCTTGGTTTTTAGATTTTCCTTCATTGACATGGTTTCACTTAGTTGTTTGCTCATATCATTGCCATAACACAGATTTTCTTTGCTTTCAGTCCACATGTCAATTCTCTCACCCATGTCTAAGCTGTTTTTCATAGCTCTGTGTTCTGAATTAAACATCCTCCTAAGACTTTTCTCAAGAGCATCATTATTTTGTTCACGATCAATGACAATCTTTACTGTACCCTTAGGGGCTCTGAGAAGATTAACCTCAGATCTTTCCTCTGTTAAAGACTTCTGGGTAGTTTCATGGAGAGTGCCCGGCCCTATTTCCTGCTTGGTGGCAGGCTCAAATGGTCCTGGCATTGGTTGAAGAAGACTTTTCTTGTCTCCTTGGAGAGCTGCTGGATGACTCCCTATCTTTTGTTTGGCTGAAAATCCCTCTATCCCAGGTAGTGCATCTTCTTTTATTATTCCTGCTTCATCAACATCTTTGAAACCCCATTGTGCTTCTTTCAAAGACCTCAATGATGTTTCAAGATCATCTAGTATCAGCTCCTTTTTCAATATTTCAGTCCTTGTATTTGTAGCCTTCTCAAGGCACTCAATAGCTCGCTCAAGATCACTGGGGATGCCACCAGATTGTTTAGATTCTTTCTGTCTGTTGTCTGACTCCTTAAGTGACTCCCTTGGGGCCAGCCTGCCACCTTTCATAATTTCTGCTGTTTTAGTCACTGTTTTCTGATTCATGGCCTGATTGAGAGAGTTTAGGGTTGATTTCATGCCACCCTTTATAACCTCTTCTTTCTGTGTCTTATAAGATGGACTCTGAGGCCCTTTAGTGAGGACTTTAACTGTATTCCTCACATCTCCTGGGATGATTTCACTTTCATTAATAGTACGGTCAAACAGCAATTGTCTTTTCTTTTGTAACAGTCTTGTGCTCTCAACATCATCACCAATTACTTCTTCCTCTCCTTGTTTCCTAGTTGTAAGAGTTTCATTTGTCCCTATTTGGAGTTGTTTGAGGTAATTCAAGGCTCCAGTTTCTATGCATGTTTTGAAGAACTGAACGTTTCCCCTCTCTGAGGCATCAATTTTTGTCTTTTCAGGTATTTTGCCATTTGATGTAGAAGATAACAGGTTATGAATGGTGCGTCTCACATCACCCCCTATTATGTCTTCACGCTCAGCCTTGTCACCAGCATTTTCATGAAGAAGACAATAGATAGTCATGTTAATATCTCCTTTTTCATCTTCCTGAATTAGGATGCCTTTCTTTGCATATCTTTCCTCTGAGAACAGCTTTGTTATTGCTTGTTTTACATCCCCTCTCACTATCTCTTCCTTTTCAGCATGAAATCCAGTCGGTCTGTTTAATAATTGAGTTTTAGTCAAATTGACATTCCCCTTCTCCTCTTCACTGACAAGTATCTCCTTCTTTGTACAGTCTCTTTGGGAAAGTAAATTCATCATTATGCTTCTGAGATTAGCCTTGATAACATCTTCTTTCTGTATCTCAGGAGTTGTTTGGTTCATGAGCTTATATTTTGCCATTCGAACATCTCCAACTTCATCAGCTTCAATGATAATTCCAGGAGCTTCAATAACTCTTTGAGAGTAGAGGTCTTTCAAGGTTTCTTTAATGCTCTTGCCAATTATTTCTACCTTTTCTACTTTAGATTCATTAAATTCATGAATAGGTGTTGTTTCAAAGAGCCATGTTGTTGTTTTGACATCTGATGGAGGAAATTCTTCTTTGGTCACTTTTGCATCACTTTCATCTACTTCCTTAAAAGAATCCAATTCTTGATTTTCAAAAAGCCACACTGCATTCTTTACACAACCTTTCTGTACCACTTCCTGGGTGACAGTCTTGATATTTCCATATCCAGACCCTTCTCCCAGCTGATCTATACTGTGAGTTTCGAAGAGCCAGGTAGAAGTCTTCACATTGCCCTTTTGTATTTCTTTGACACTTACTGTTCTTATATAATTTCTCTTGTCACCATTTTCAGACTCAAAGAACTGTTTACTCATCTTTACATTGCCTCCTTGAATATTGTCATCAGACTGCAAAACATTATGTGATTCATCTGAAATCTGATCGAGGGGTTGAGTTTCAAATCTGTATCTGACAGAACTCACATCCCCCTTCTGAATGTCTTCTTGGGTAACAGATTTAATAACATATACATCTTCTGATTCATTAATTGAGTCCAATGGTTTTGTTTCAAAGAGCCACCTTGTTCCTCGTACATCTCCATGAATTACTTCTTCTCTTTTAACTGTTGTCACTTCATGATAAAACCCTTCTTGATCTCGAATTGCATAGAGTGGCTGTGTTTCAAAGAGCATTCTGTAGCTTTTTACATCACCTCTCATTACTTCTTCAGTATCTGTTTTCCTAATACTGATGCCATCAGATTCTTCTTTAATCTTATCCAAAGAAAATGTCTCAAAAATGAAGCACCTCTTTCTCACATTTCCACCTTGGATGTCTGTCACTGTCTTAACCAATCCATCACCTTCTTGATTTTCTTTTATCATATCAATGGGTTGATTTTCAAATAGCCACTTGCAATTTAACACATTGCCTTTCTGAATGTCTTCAGTTTTTAGAGTTTTGATCTTATTCAACACATCCTCTGAACTGCAACTGATAGAATCTAAGGACTGACTTTCAAACTTATACTTCATGCCAGAGACATCTCCAGCTTGTATATCCATTTCCACAGGCTTATTTTCTTTACCATCATTCCCCTGTATTTTGTCCAGATCTTTTGTCTCAAAAAGAAAACATGCTGTCCGAACATCCCCACCTTGTATCTCTTCCTGCTTTACAGTTTGCAGTTTGACTGTTGCTTCAGAGTCTTCTTTTATAGTATCAAGTGGCTGAGTTTCAAAAAGCCTCGTGCAGCTTCTCACATCACCCTTACAGATATCTTCGGTGTTTGTCTTCAAGGAAACGTGTTCATAAAGACACTCCATTGGCTGGGTCTCAAATAGCCATTTACAAGTTTTGACATCCCCTTTAACAATATCTGTAGTTTGTTCAGTATTGCTTTCAGTTTCTTCCTCATTGCTAAAATATTTAATTGAATCAAGAGGTTGAGTTTCAAACAACCACCTAGCAGATTTGACACTCCCTGCTTGTATTTCTTCAGCCGATATTCCTCTAATTATCTGAAATTTATGAAGGTTTTCATCAAATTTATCAATAGGCCTTGTTTCAAAAAGCCATCTACAACTTCTTACATCTCCTGTTAGGATTTCTTCTTGCTGGACTGTCTTTACTTGGTGGTATTTTCCAAGATGGTCTTGAATAGCATACAGTGGGGTTGTCTCAAAGAGAGATTTATTTAACTCCACAATGCCTCTGGTGACTCCTTCTACCTCAATTTGATGTGATGCATCAACCTGAATTAAATTATTGGTTTCAAAAATATGTGTATACTTCTTTACATAACCTCTGTCAACTGCTTCTAGCCTTACTGTCCTTGTATACTCTTTCTTATCCTCTCTAATGTCTTCTAAAGGTTGAGTTTCAAATACCCATTTTTGGTGCATAACATCTCCTTTTTCTTCTTCAGAGGCTGTGATTTTTTGAAGCTTTCCTACATCAGGACTGTCTTTCAAAGCTTCTATTGGAAGTGTTTCAAATAGATGTTTGGTGGTTTTTACATCACCTCCTATTCTTTCTTCAAGTGATACAGTATCTGCATCAGGAACTTCTTTTAGAATGTCTAATGGCTGTGTTTCAAACATCCAACACTTCTTAGAAACATCTGTACCTATGATTGCTTCTTTTGTAAGGACAGCCTCATCTGAGTCTTCTTTGATTTTCTCCAGGGGTTGAGTTTCAAATAACCACTTTGCTCTACTCACCCCACCTTTGACATTTTCTTCCATGGATAGTCCCCGAACAACTTTAATTTCTGTGATATCTTTGTTAATTATGTCCAAAGGCTGTGTTTCAAACATCCAACGTGCTGTTCTCACATCTCCTTTTATGATGTCTTCTCTCTGCACAGTTTTAATTTCTAGGATTTGGCCTGAACCATCTCTGATGACATACAGTGGTTGAGTTTCAAAACACTTAATGCTTCTTTTAACATTTCCTTTAATTTCTTTGAGTTCAGACCTGAGTTGTAATAAGTTAACTTCATCCACAGAGTGAAGATGTCCAAGTTGATCCAGGTGTTGAGTTTCAAACATGTATCTCACAGTCTTGACATCTCCCCCAGTTATATCATTTATAGTAGCATATGCTGTGTCTTCTTGAATTTCATGCATTTTGTTCATTGAGTCTAAAGACCTTGTTTCAAACATCCATCTTGCTGTGCCAACATCTCCTCTAGCTAGCTCAGGAATTTTCTCTGTGTTTCCTTCATTGTCAAGGGAAGGAGTCCCCAGTGCATCTATTGGCTGAGTTTCAAACATCCAACTAGTATACTTCACGTCACCCCCGGCAATAAGTTCTTGGTCATCAATGCCCTTGGAAGTGAACCCTTTATCTGTAGAACCATTGTTGATAGAATCTAATGGTTGATTCTCAAAAATCCATCTCATTGACTGCACCTCTCCTTTCAGAATTTCATCCCATTCCAGGTTTTCTCTTTCTGAGTTCAGATCTTTCTCAGAACTGTCATTTTTGTTTTCAAAAATATACCGAGTTTGTTGTACATCTGCTGAAACTGAGTTTCCTGAATTTACCTGGCTAGAAACAATTTCAGAGACTTCACTGATGTAATCTTTTTCTAAGTTTTTTCTTAACTCAGGATGGATATGTCTATATAAACGGTTTAGTTCATACAAATTTCTTTGTTTGGAATATAAATCCTTGGGGATTGGTAGTCCTCTAGGAGGGCTGGGGAATTCAGGGGACTGGGAAAATGCTGTCACATCCATTGGTGTTTGAAGTATATCAGGTGGAGGAGGAGGAAATTCTTCCATTTTTCTTGAAGGATTGCCATTAACTTGTGCCAGGACTGTTGAAGTGACACTGTGATTACTATAACTCGAGCTTGAGGTTTCCTTCTTCTGGCTAGCTGAAGTGTAAGAAGAACAGGTACCCATAGCTGATGATGGCTTTAAGGATTCTTTACTGTCATTTTCCATCTTGAAGGGAAAGAAAATCAAAGCTTATAATGATGAATGTATCATGGAAGTTCCTGGACCCTACCTTTTACCTGTCCACAAATAGGATTCTGTTGTGATGCCTTCCTTGGAAAACAGGTATACACTGGGCTTAAGCCTATTTGAGAGAATACTCAATGTGTTAATAAATATCATTCTATTTTTAATAATAAATGTTCTTTCATAAAAGTATCAGTAAATGACTCAGTACTTGAACATTTACACATACTGTTTTTTGAGACAAGGTCTCTTTTTTGTAGCCCTGGTAAGCCTGGAATTCAGAGAGATCTACCTGCCTCTGCCTCTCAAATTCTGGGCCTAAAGGCATATGCCACTATGCTTGGTTTAACAATTGTATATACTTGCTTTGCCCCTCTTTACTTGATCAGTAATCTACATGGTTAAAAAAATAATGTCTTGAAGTGCTCTTGTAGGATTTTTGCTTTCTTTGCCATTTAAAACAAAACAGGTAACTATATGGCATTTAAAATAGACTTAGTTAATTTATTTGTTATTAGTTATAGACTTTATCATATGTATAACTTGCTTCATTCTTATTCTCCAGTGGGTGGGAGATCTTATTCTACCTCATAGATCAATGCCCTCCTGGCGAAACAGAATAAATGCAAGTTCAAAATTTTGTTAAGAACATACCACAAAAATTCAAGTATATTTAAGTATGATTTTAAAATTTAGTGCTTGCCTGTATAGAGGAATTACCATACCTTTATACACCTGGATGGAGCTGTTTCTTTGTCAGTATAGAGAAACTTTTCTTGGGCCGACTTTTCAAATTGCTCTTTTAAAATCTTAGTGGAAACTTTAGGAATCTCTTCATCCTCAGGTGTATCAATGACTACAAAAACAAGTAGATAACAGGGATACTTTACAATGAATAAAATGGTAATTGAGAAGAAAATGTCATATGGTATTAAACTCCTTATAATGTAAATTATAATGTGAATAAGACTCAAAGGGCAAATTTATGTACATGGCATTATTTCATCTAGTGATTTAGAAGTGAAGCAAGAAATATTAAAGAAGAAACATATGAAAGACATTTTTGGTGGTGGCACAGGGAGATGGCACAGAAGTTGGAAGATCTTGCTGCTCTTTCAGAGGACCAAAGTTTAGTTTCCAGAACCATTTTGGGCAAGTCTCAATAGTTGGAACTCCAACTGTAGTTGATCTGAAGCTGTCTTCTGGCCTCTAGCTGTTCTCTCTCTCTCTCTCTCTCTCTCTCTCTCTCTCTCTCTCTCTCTCACAAACACACACACACACACACAACACATAAATAAAAACAAAACAAAAGAATTTGTAGTGGTTATCTTTGGATAGGGTATTTTCAGAATTTCTGCAACTGTGTTCTAATTGTTCATTCAGAAAAAAACAATGATGTATCTTATGGAACGAAAGGCAGTGTCGTGGAGGTCACTATTCTTGTTTGCTTGCTTGAAAATTTTGAAAAAAGTTCTTGCTCTGTAGCCTACATCTCACTATGTGGCCAAGGGCTGGCCTTAATCCTGCAGCAGTCCTCCTGCTTGAGACTCCTTAATGCCAGGATTACAAACATGAGTCATTAAAACCAGCAAGAAGAATGCTGCACTTCTTACATAGCAAGACTCTAATACTGTTCTGCCATACCAGAGGTAAAATCTTTCCTTTTATCTCATCAGAGAAGCAAGTCTTTCCCCCCACACTCCCTTATATGAGTAGACAGCTGCACTTTATCTTCTGCAAACATGTAGAAGTTTCCCCATAATCTAACTTTCTACATGTGGGTTGAGAACATATCATTACCTAAATTTGCTATTAATATGAATACAGTAAAGACAATTTTACTGTCAGGGTGCTTTATAAGCAATGGATATTATTATAGGTTCCAAGTTAAAAACATAATTCAGTAATGGTTAGCTTAACACCCTTTTTAGGATTAGGGTGAATTTATCATATGTCTGATGGGCAATGAGCTCCTTTTTTTAAAAAAAAAATCACATGTACTACTGCAGGCAAAATCTAATTATATGCAGGAATGCAATCTTGCCCCCTTCGGAAGCATGAGTCACAGCCACCAAGGTTACTCAGTGGGAAGGACTGATTTTTGAAAGTCCTCCAAACCCACATACACAAAAAGGACAAAGGTAGAGAGGGACCAATAGTCCCAGACAGTTACCTGTTTCTTGAACATATTGATGAAACTGTGAAGCTTGGTTTACTTCCTCAGTTTGTTCTTCAAGATGTGACATCTGCTTTTAAAGACAATTTCAAAAGAGTAATTATTTTTAAGAAATCTGTGATTCAAGTATTAAAAATAATCTCTACTTTATAGTGTTTTTCTTCTGAGGATTTGGTAAGTGTTGAGGGAGGCTAGGTACTATTTCTACTGTTTGTTTTAATGTGTACTCAAGTTAACAACAGAAGATATGTGAACAGCACCTCACTGCAGGCATATTTGTAGGTTGCTTGTTTCATTTTTAAAAATAGTTATAAATGGAAATATACACTGCTGTATATTTATACAAAGTACATATAGTAAAAGCATATGTTTACAGAAAAATCAAAAATTTCTATCCAGTCCTGGAGACCCTTTGAAAATTATTGCGTTCCTAAGCAATTACCATTTCTGTTTTGAAGACATCAGTTCCATGAACTTTAGAAACTTCTTGATCGTTCCTTGTCATTTCTTGATTGCTGTGGATTGCTTCCTGAAAATGAACAATTAGACATGTAAACAGACAGACACTGTCTTTGAAAAACTCTGTAAAATGAACTATTTTATTAATGTAATTTCAGTGACAGATTATTCTGAAAAGAGGCGGGAAGAGGAGGAGGAAGATCAGCAGGAATGGGAGCAGGAGCAAGGGGCTTCCTTCTAGCGTTTGGCTGTCAAAAAAAAAATCTGTAAATACAGCACAATCTAACTGTTTTGTATTTAAGAGGTTCATTAGTTCTAAGTATGTCTTACTGGTTGTTGACCGGTGCTACAAGGCCCTATTGGAGATCGCATTCCTTTGTCTTTGGAAGCTTCTAGAAGCAATCTTCTTGGCTCATGACATCCTATTTTATACAGCCGAGATTCTTTCTCATCACCACCTTCCTATCTGATGTCATTTTCAACTTCTAAGGACTCTTGTGACTATGTTGCACTGACCCAAATGGACATGGATTTTCTCATCAAAAAACCACTTGACTGGTAGCTTTATTTAGACTTTAATCTTAATTCAAATTTGCAAAATAATTTAACACATTCATATATTCTGCAGTGAAGAGTAGGTAAATGTCTTTAGAAGCCACTGTCATATCTACTTCTGACTATAAATAGCTTGTGACATTATGTGCATGAAGATAAAAAATAAAAATAAATGCAAACTATTACTAAAATGTATTGTGTTATTTATTAGATATGTTATTACATATTCATGACCCTCTATAGTTTTTATATTGGTTATCCAGTAAAATGAGACACAAAGAGTTTAATTAGAACAAAAAGCCCTTAAGTATAACCAGCATAAACATGTCACACTCTGATAGTATGTACATGAGGATAAGGCATATACCCAAATGATCCATATCCATGCAACAAAGACATGTGCTCAACTATGTTCATAGCAGCATTATTTGTAATAGCAAGAACCTGGAAGCAACCTAGATTCCCCTCAACTGAAGAATGGATAAAGAAGATGGGACACATCTACACAATGGAATACTACTATGCAGAAAAAAATGGAATCTTGAAATTCACAGGCAAGTGGATGGCACTTGAAGAAACCATCCTGAATGAGGTAATCCAGTCACAAAAAGAGGAACATGGTATGTCCTTGCTCATATTTGGATTTTAGACCTAGAGCAAAGATCATCAGCCTATAATTCACACCACCATAGGAACTAGGATACAAGGTGTATTCTAAGAGATTCATATAAAGTCCCTCAAAGAAGGGGTAAGGGACAAGTCCCTCAGAGCACAGGGAAAGTGGGGGGGCAGTGAATGGAGAGTGAAGTAGGAGAAAGAGAAGGGGAGGAAAGGAAAGCACGTGTGACTAGGAAGATTGAGTCAGGGTAGGAAGAGAAGACGAGAGAGAGAGAGAGAGAGAGAGAGAGAGAGAGAGAGAGAGAGAGAGAACATGAAAGAGGGAGCCATTATTGGTTTGAAGAGAAAACTGAATCTAAAGAAAGGTCTAGAGAACTACAAGACTGCCGCCAACTAACAATTGGAGCAACCATGGAAAGGCTACCATAAATGCCCTTCCTGGATAATGAGATCAACAACTAACTTATCCACCATCACAGAGCCCTCATCTAGTACCTGTTGGAAACAGAAGTAAATTTTTAAACATTTTTAACTTTTATTCTTTTTTCATACATTACATCCTGACCTGTAGTCTCTCCCTCCACTCTCCCAGTCCCTTCCCCTACCTCTCTTCTTCCCCAGATCAACTCTTCCTAAAACAAAACAAAACAAAAAAGGAGGCCTCCCTCCTAGGGATATCCAGAGAGCATGGCCCAACAAGACGCAATAAGATTGTACACAAATCCTCATATCAATGCTAAACGTGGAAGTCCAGTAGGAGGAAAAGGTTCCCAAGCACAGGCAAAAGCGTCGGAAACATCCCCACACCCATTGTTGGTGGTCCCACAAGAATACCAAGTTATACAACCATATGGTGCATATGGTTTATGTACAGGATCCCTGTTTCCTGAGAACATTTTTTAATTTTGTTTAAGTTAGGATAGAAAACTCAACTCTGAAGATCCAGAAAATCTTGGCAATTTTTTGCCTTTTTTTTCCCCTACAGAGTATGCTTCTGACACAGGTGACTGATTGACACATTGCTAAAGTCCAACTATTAGAAAACCATAATGCTCAACCATGTTCACTGCTGCTCTATTTGTAACAGCTAGAATCATCATAAATAACTTAGATGTCCCTTAACAGAAGAATGTCTAAAGAAAATGCAGTACATTTACATAATGGAGTATTATTCAGCTGTTGAAAATGACATCATAGAAATTGAAGGTAAATGGTCAGAACTAGGAAAAAAAGTTATCCTGACTAAGGTAAGCCAGACCCAGAAAGATAAACATTATATGTATTAATTTATATGTGAATATTAGCCATGCGAAATTATAACCAAGCTACAATCTGTAGACCCAGAGAGGTTAGTATAGATGAAGGGACGAGGGATCTATTCCCAGAGGTGTTAGGAATAGAGAATGGACACATGGACCTGTATGTAAGAAAAAAACTAGAATAGTTTCTATGGGTGGACTGGAGTAGATGTGGGGAGGTATGGGGGAAGGGGAGAAGGGGAGGGGACTGAGGTTAAGAAGGGAATTTAGGATGGTCAGAATTGAGGGGCATTTGAGGAGTATGGAAACCTACTTAAGTGGAAACCTCCTAAAATATATGAAGTTAATCCTAATGAAGTTTCCAAATAATGGAGGTGACAGAGTCTCAACTAGCCATCTCTTGTCACCAAATGAAGCTTCCAGTGCTAGGACTCAGTTACATCCAATTGAGTTGTTGGATAAAGAAGGTCCCATGGAACCTAGGAACAACCTAGGCAGTTTCCATGACAGTAGATTGATCTCCACAAATGGAGAGCAAGACACTATTGCCAAAGACAACACTAACAGAACTCACTGAACATGGCAAGAGTGAACATTTACTTTTATAGAACCTTCACTCTTATTATTCTAGTGTCTTTGATACAGGAAGATATTCTGCAAGCTACCAAAAGAGAAACATAAATACTAAACCATCTAGCAAAATATGCTAGGGCAATGATGTCACAAAGCTTGTGGGAGTAGTCAACTAACATCTGATTTGACTTAAGGCCCACTCTACAAGATTGAAACCATACCAGACCCTAAGAGAAACATGCGTGGCCCCCCACAGAAAAGGTAATGGACAAGATCACCCAATCAAATTGGAAGCATGGGGAAGGGGAGAAGGAGTTAGGAGAAAGAGAAGAGGAAAGAGGAGGGTAAAGGAGGGCATAAGGGAGCAGGAAAATTGAGTCAGGGAAAGAATAGAGGAAAGCAAGAAAAGAGAAACCATAATAGAGGGAGTCATTAGATGTATAAAGAGAAATCTGGCACTAGGGAAATGTCCAGAGATCTACAAGGATGACCTCAACTAACAACCTAAGCAATAGTGGAGAGACTACCTTAAAAGCCCTTCCCTAATAATGAGATTGATGACTACCTTATATGTCATCCTGGAGCCTTCATCCAGTAGCTGATGGAAGCAGAAGCAGACACCCACAGCTAATTAGAGTCAAACTCCTGGAATCCAGTAGCAGAGAGGGAGGGTCAAGACCAGGCTATAATAACCCACAGAAACCGCTGACCTGAACAAGGGGGGAGCTCATGGACCCCAGTCTGATAGCTGAGAAAGCAGCATAGAATTGACCCAGATCCCTTGAACGTGGGTGTTAATTGGGAGGACTGGACAGTCTATGAGGCCTCTTGTAGTGGATCAGTATTTATCCCTAGTATACGAATGGACTTTGATAGCCCATTCAACAGAGACGGATACTCTCACAGCTTAGAAACATGGGGGCAGGGCCTAGGCCCTCCCACAAATGTTATGACAGACTTCGAAGATTCTCCTTTGGAAGGCCTCACCTTCCCTGGGGAGCAGAAAGGGTATGGGATGGATGTTGTGAGGGGTACAGGGGAAGAGGTGAGGGAACTGGGATTGATATGTAAAACACACTTGTTGCAAATTTAAATTAAAAAATATTAAAAAAAAAAAAACAAGTCAAAGGGAATGGAGGACACATGGAGAGCAAGGCCCTCTAAATCAAATCAACAAAGCTCATATGAACTCAAAAAGATTGAAACAGCAACACAGGGCCTGCACCAGACTGCACTGCGTCCTCTGCATATATATTAAACTTTCCAGTTTTTTATGGCATTCCTAATGTGTGAAAAGGTGGGTCTTGAATCTTGTGCTTTCTCTCTTTATTTTTCCTCTTTGTTTGCTTGTTTGTTTTCTCTTATCCAACTTCTATTTGATGGCTTTTGTTTTATATTTTTCTATTTTATTTTGTTAAGTTTGTCATCTCTTAGAATCCAGTTCTTTTTCAAATGTGAGACATAAGGACATAGATCCAGATGGGAGGGGAGGTAGGAAGGAACTTGGAGGTGTCAAGGGAGGGGAAACTGTAATCAGGATCTATAGTAGGAAAAACAATAATGCATTTTCAATAAAAGGGAAATGACTTACAATAAAATAAAAGTTTAGGAAACTGATTTAAAGATTTAGGCATACCATAAGTAAAATTATAAGAACTTGGAATGAACTAGACAATGGGGTGATGCACAACTGCTTTTATGAGAATGCATGTGTTTAGAATTATGCAAAGTTGAAATCTCTCATTTATCTTTATGTCTAACTGATTAAAACTATTTTGAAATTTTTAAAGTTTTTTAATACTAATAAGAATAATCTAGGGAAGATATGGTTCAGCAGTTAAAAACCCTGGCTGCTTTTCCAGAGCACCCAGGTTCAACTCCTAACACCCACACGGCAGCTCACAACTGTCTGTGTAACTCAGTTCCAGGTGACCTGAAACCTATGGCAAAGCACTATTGCACATTTAAAAAAAAGAAAGAGATAGAATAATCTAGTGGGTACATGTATATTGCTTTTCTTAAGGAAAAAGATAGTTATGAATTAAGCTATATTTTTACAGTAGGT